TGCAAATATTTTCTCCCATTCTGTGCATTGTCTTTTCATTTTGTTTATGGTTTCCTTTGCTGTGCAAAAGCTTTTAAGTTTAATTAGGTCCCATTTGTTTATTTTTGTTTTTATTTTCATTACTCTAGGAGGTGGATCCAAAAAGATATTGCTGTGATTTATGTCAAAGAGTGTTCTGCCTATGTTTTCCTCTAAGCATTTTATAGTATCTGGTCTTACATTTAGGTCTTTAATCCATTTTGAATTTATTTTTTTGTATGGTGTTAGGGATGTTCTAATTTCATTCTTTTACATGTAGCTGCACAGTTTTCCCAGCACCCCTTATTGAAGAAACTGTCTTTTCTCCATTGTATATTCTTGCCTCCTTTGTCATAGATTAATTCTATCCTGTTCCATTGATCTATATTTCTGTTCTTGTGCCAGTACCATACTGTTTTGATTACTGTAGTATAGTTTATAGTATATTTTGAAGTCAGGGAGCCTGATTCCTCCAGCTCCATTTTTCTTTCTCAGGATTGCTTTGGCTATTCAGGGTCCTTTTTGTTTCTATACAAATTAAAGTTTTTTGTTCTAGTTCTGTGAAAAATGCCATTGGTAATTTGATAGGGATTGCATTGAATCTGTGGTTGCCTTGGGTAGTATAGTCATTTTGACAATATTGATTCTTCCAATCCAAGAACATGGTATATCTTTCCATCTGTTTGATTTCTTTCATCAGCGTCTTATAGTTTTCAGAGTACAGGTCTTTTGCCTCCTCAGGTAGGTTTATTCCTAGGTATGTTATTCTATTTGATGTGATGGTAAATGGGCTTGTTTCCTTAATTTCTGTTTCAGATCTTTCGTTGAAGTTCTGTGTAGTTTTATCACCTGTGTAGGTTCCTGTATCCACCACAGTAAAGGAAATGAACAGTTCCAACACCAAAGAAAAACTCTGGGGTTACACCTTTTATGACCACACCCACCTCCTTCTCACCACCTGCATCTCTTCCACTTCGTCCCTAACACTTGGCAACCACGGAATCTGTCTTCCATTTCTAAATTTTTGTCATTTCCAAAATGTCATATTAATGGAACCATATAGCATCTAATTTTTTTGTTGACTTTTTTTGCTCAGCATAATAACCTGGCAATTTATCCAAGTTGTTGCATGTTATCAATAGTATGCACCTTTTGATTGCTGATTAGTATTCTATGGCATTAAGTGAACCATAGTTTAAGTCTTTACCTGTTGGAGGACACTGAGTTGTTTTGTTTTTGTCTATTATGAATAAAGCTGCTATGAACATTGGCATGTAGGTTTTGAAATGCCCAGGGATATGAAATTAGCTACCACATTCTGGAGGCGAGGGGTGCTTACTGGGTCCATCATTGCTTCTAAGGGCTTTTCAGTAGACAGAATTAGTATATGCTTTTTAATTTAAACTAAAATATTCCATGGGTTCATAAGATACTTCCTAAATTCAAGAGTATAGGGAATTTGCATAACATCATTGATTGTATATTTGTATGTCTTTTCTCCTATGCCCAAATTCCAGTTCTGATAACATCAACATAATTATGTTCTATCCTATCCATTTTCACTTATTCCCAACAATATGACTACTGAATATAATTTAAGATTTTATGGCAGTTAAAAATTTTTTTTAAACAGCAGTTAATTTTGTCTTTAGGGTAGATTTTTTGGATGTATAGCTAAATTACTGTGTTTTTCAAGTCATTCAGAAGAGTTCCCATCTGTGAAGTTAGTTAGTTCCCATCTGTGTAGTAAATATACATTTAAGTTCATTTGTTTCATCTTGCTTTCAACTTTTAGGGACTGATTTTTAAAAATTAATTTGTATCATATAAGCATGTAAAACATATAAGTTTCCAAAGTCAAATATACAAAACAAAGTATACAGATGGTCCCTGACCTGTGGTTTGATTTACGATTTTTCAACTTTATGATGGTGTGAAAGCAATAAGCATTCAGTAGAAACCGTATTTCAAATTTTGAATTTTGATCTTTTTCCCGGGCTTGCAATGTATGGTACCATACTGTCTTGTGATGCTGGGCAGAGGCAGTGAGTTGCAGCTTCCAGTCAACCTCGTCGTCATGAGGGTAAGCAACGTGATACACTTAAAACCATTCTGTACCCACTTTCAGCACAGTATTCAATACATTACATGAGATATTCAACACTTTCTTATAAAATAGGCTTTGTGTTACATGATTCTGTCCAACTATATGCTAAATTAAGTGTTCTGAGCACATTTAAGTTAGGCTAGGCTAAGCTATGATGGTCAGTAGGTTAGGTGTATTAAATGCATTTTCGACTTAACGATATATTTCTCTCAACATAACCCCATCATAAGTGGAGGAAGATCTGCAGTAGAGGAAATGGGCATACTTATTCCTGACTTTAGCAGGAAAGTCTCTAGTTTCACCATTGAGATTCTCGAAAACTTTTTTTGTAAAATATGGGTAACGCCATCCATTCTATCCGATCTTCCACAGCATTTCTTGGAAGATAAAATATGTGAAAACAAACTGAAAAGTGACACAAAAACATGCCTGTTGACTGTTAACGCATTTTGGGAGAGCCTCAAAAGTCTTGAACCCAACTTAGTACATTTTACAGAAGAAACAGAGGCTCACAGAACTGAGAGGGCCTACCCCAAGGAACATTAGGGAATGAGGCGAGAGCTCCCGTTTCCTGCCCTGCAGTCCGGGATAAATCCACGGAGCCTTTTTTTAAAAAAACTGTACTTATATGCAGATACTTATTTTTTATATAGATGAATATTTTAGTGGATCTTCGAAGTGGAAAAAGTCACAAAAGGCCGCAAGGCTGAATGAGGCTGCTGTCGCCCAGGCAACCACGGTCACCTAGGAGGGAGCCCGGGGCTGGAGTCAGCGAGCCACGCCCTCACTCAAACTGGGCAGCTCCGGTCCGAGTTTGGGGGCGACGGAACACCCGGAGATGCTGTGGAGGCACGGAGCAGGGAGGTCCAGTATGGGGACGCTGGACCGTTAATAGGGAGGACTGACACACTCTGGATTCCAGCGGAGGCCAGATGGTGACGATTGGGTAGGGCAACGACGCTGTAGCGCAAGTTTCTAGATGAAAATGGTCTTAATGTGGACCCGTAAAGCTTCAAGGGCTTCAGCTCTAAAACCCCGGCCCGGGGGCGGGGCAAGGCTTTGTGGGCGGAAGCCTTCCGGGAGGCGGGGAGCGGGGCAACGGAAATGACGCTTAGGAGCACCAATAAGGCGGGGCGGGCGCTAACGGTTTTCGGTAGCGCTGTCTTAGAGGGGCGGGGGAGAGGTGGCGAGTCCGTATTCCCTGACCCTTGGGCCCCAGCGACCCCGCACCCCTGCAGACACCCCAAGATGATGGGCTGTGAGGAGTCAGAGCTGGAGTCGGTGGAAGGGGGAGAGGCCGTGGCTGAACCAGGGCCACCCCCAGAACCCCGAGCCCCCGTGCCCGGAGCCCCAGTGCCGGAGCCCAGCCTGGACCTGAGCCTAAGCCTGAGCCCTCTGTCCGAGAGCCCCGGGCGCGGGCGGTCCAAGTGCAGCCCGGGACGGCGGAAGGGGCGGGCGGACCGGCGGGGCGGGGCCCGCAAGGGGCGGCAGGTGAGCTGGGGGAAGGCCTGGCCGCCAGCCCGCCGACGACCCCGCGCCTACCTCTTCACCGCCCCGCTCTCTGCTTCCAGGTCCGCTTCCGCCTGGCGTCGCCCTCCCCGGTACGGTCCGAGCCGCCGCCGGCCGCCGCCGCACCGAGCGAGAAGCAGGACCTGGGGACGCCCGCGCAGCAGAGCAGCCTGGCCCTGAGCTTCGAGCTGCAGGCCGCGCGGGCCGCAGCCGGGGGCCAGTTCGATGCCGCGAAGGCTGTGGAAGAACAGCTGAGAAAGTCGTTCCAGACCCGCTGCAGCCTGGAAGAGAGCGTGGCCGAGGGTGAGGGGGGCAGGCGGCCGGCCGGGCGCGGGAGCGGGGGTCCGAGGCGCCGCTCACTTCCGCTCCTCCTGCGGTCTCAGGGCTGAACGTGCCGCGCTCCAAGCGGC